ACTCACAATTCAACCCGGGTTGTATCTTACAGCATCAACCAGCTTAGCTTACAGGCATTGCCTGAAGGATTCACTTCTACCTAAGCACGAGCTATACTAAATAACAACCTAAACATATGAGGAACTTTTTGCATGAGTGAATGATATGATATCAACCTCCCTACCTCTTAGCCATTCACTAGAAAGTACTTTTCCTTCTTAAAATGGACATGTGTCAAACACTGCATTCTGAGCTTCAACCTACATCTTGGACTACCACGGCCCAGAGGACGACGTCCAAATACTAGAGACACTCTCCTAGTGGCCCACGACGGCCCTATTGGGACCGAGTGCCCTGGTCCGAACTCTACCCACCCAATACCTCGTGGACCACTATTAGTGCCTCCCTAAATTCACTTGGCCTCTCGTCTGAGTTTGGATTCCTCTCTCGTTCTCTTGGAGTCAGGGCGACAGAACCAGCCCTCTTTCTAAGTGGACAGCTGTCAGTCTGTTGTTTTTTCCCCACGAGCGGAGGAACCAATTCAGTTGACGCCTGTTACCTTGCCCTGCCTTGACCTTCTTTCTCCAGTCCACTTGGATTGCCTGTTTCAAACCTCTTTTGATGCTACTCTTGATTTCCAAGTCTGACAAGGGTCTTTTTTGAAACCTCGCCCTGTTTCTGTCCGTCCATATCACCTCACATAACAGTCCTCTGCTCACGTGGGCCACGTAGCCCCATCCCCGATGGCCGTCCAAGCCGGCGGGTAGGAAACCCAACAGCACCCACCTCGCATCCCATTGCATCTCTACACCCCCGAATTCCCTCTAGTGGTGTGCCCACCAGTTCCACACTTTCTTGGACGCTGGGCATTCCCACCACAGGTGTCTCGTGGACTCAAAGGGCCACCTGCACCTCGAACAACCCAGTTCAACCTGCATTCCCCTACTCAGTAGCCAAACTGACGAAGGGGTTACTAGTAGGGACAACATCCAGAGAATGCTAACTTGTCTCCCGTTTGGAAGACAAGTTAGGATTTCCCAGAGCTGTTCGAATTTATCTTCTGCATCTGTCAGGTCCAAGCTGCATACTGCCTGTCAGCGTGTTGTTGCAATCTGTGCAGGTGTCTTCAATGGCTCGGCCGCTAGCAGGTAACCTATTGCCGTTGAGTACTCTAGCATGCTGAGTTGTGGGGCTTCAGCATTCTTGGTTCGCCAACTCCAGGGTTGAGGGTTGATGCAGAGTTGTCTGAGCGGTTGTCTACCAATCCATACCAGATTTTTCAAGTTTGAGCCTTTGCAATACCTTTCTACCACTCTCACCTGGACTGGGCTATCCCAGACCATCTTGGTTTCCTCCTGTATGAACACGAGCGAGTTTGAGTGGTCCTTACATCTCCATCTTTCCACTCTTCGAAAATCACTTGGAAGGATTTCCAGTACCTTCCACAGCACATCACCTTGAACCTCCGACTCTGACCTGTACCATGCCCCGGGCGGGTCTGGTTCTTTTGGGCCTAACCGCTTCAGCCAATCTTGGGGGATTGCATCAGTTATCTGGTAACAGTGTTCTTCTACCCGTTGTAGCCCTTGTAACACTTCCTTTACATCGTTGAGAGGTCTCCAGTTGCCTAGCACCGGGCATCACAAATCCTCTATCCTTACAATCCCTTGTCTCACCCAGGCTTGTCCGAATGTACCTGGTGCTCCGTTTGCTACGAATGAAGCCCCCTCCTGGTTTTGAATTGCCTCGTTGTCAAACAACAGTTGGCAAAGGAATTCATCCTTCGTAGACAGTGGGCGAGTGACATCAACTGATAGCTTCTTCCACGCTTTGCGGATGGGTTCCAAAAAAAAAGATTTGAGTCTCTTCTTTCTGAAAGACTTCATAAAGAAACACGCCCACACGTCCTTCGGTCGGCTCAATCTCCATTCACCTCCCAGGATGTGTTCGGCTAGCGTGATCCAGTGTTCCCTTGATGTTGCAGTGGCTATTTTCACCAACCAACCGCGGAGTTGGGGCTGGTTCCTGCTTGCTGGGTCCATTAGACCCAGTTCTCCTTTCTCTCGTGGGAAGGACAATGTGTCAAGGACCACCTTCGATATGAATCCCTCCGAGTTCTGGGCCCTTGGTTTCCACAGAAACCGGGCGACCAGCCTTCTGATGACCTTCACGATTCCTTCTGCCAGTTCTCTTACCGTGGTAACAAACCACAAGATCGAGAAAAGGGCGGCGTTAATTACCAGTGTCCGTCCCATGATCGAGAGATGCCAAGCTGACCCCCAAATCCGCAGTCTTGCTGCGATCCGCTGTTGCAGGAGAAGGCCCTGGGCCGAAGCACCAATCTGTAGGCTGACCAGGATTCCTAGGAACCTCTCCTCCTCCCCCTCGTCAACCCTTTTCATGCCCCATTCCACTTTCAGTTGAAACTGCTTTGGCAGCATGTAAACTGACTTGCGCCAATTAACTGAGGCTTCGGAGAGAGCTGAGTACTCGCCTAGGATCAACTTCAGCGCGGTAAGGGATGCTGTTGAATTCTCACATACTGCGAATAGATCATCCGCCAATGCTTTCACACAGACTTCCTCTCCTGTGTGTAACTGCAGGCCTCTGATGTCTGTATGACCCCGGATTCTATTCAGGAGCACCTCCATTTGCAGCACAAAGACCAGTGGAGCAAGGGGGCAACCTTGCCTGAGCGATCTAGAGAGAGAGAGAAAGAGTCTGAGAGATGACCATTTATCATCACCGCAGAGGAGTATGTTTACATGGCGTCGCTCCAGGCACAAAAGTTGTCCCCAAATCCCATCCTACGCAAGGTGGTTAACACGAACGTCCATCCCACCTTGTCATAGGCCTTCTCTAGGTCTAACAAAAGGATGGCCGTTTCCAAGTCGTCCCCTTGAACAATCTCCAACGTCCCTACCGTGGTCACGATGTTGTTGAAGATCGACCTCCCTTGCACGAATGCTCCTTGGTCCTTCTCGACCAACTCCGGTAGGTATTTTCCCAACCTACGGGCTAGTGACTTGGCCAAAATCTTGTACGACACGTTGAGTAGCAAAATCGGACGCCAGTTGCGGACTTCAGCTTTGTCTCCCTTTTTGAACAACATCGCGATCACCCCGTGTGTCATGCCTTTCCCCAGTCTCCCACCAACCAAGACTTCGTTATACAGTTCAACAAGCGGTGGCCCAAGTACCTTCCAATTCGCGCTGTAGAACTCAACAGTAAGCCCATCCACTCCTGTGGATTTGCCTCGCGCCATTGATTTGAGAGTTTGTGCTACTTCTTCCAGTGTAAGAGGCCTGTCAAGGTCGAGTTTAGCCGCTGTTTGCAGTTTGACCGTAGTGTCGTCCCATAAGTCAGAGGTTGCTGACAGGTCTGTGTTCACATCTTCTTGTAGTCGCCTGGTTGTCAGAATGTCCGCATAGTACATTCTTGCATACTGGAGCATTCCAGGGCTAGGTCCCACTTACACGAATTAAGCGATATTGACCGTGGATAACAAGGATCAACGGCCAGAATCTCTTAATCCGTGCAAGTGGGACCTTGCCCCCGGATGCTGTGCTGGCTGGCGGCGCTGTCTCGTCGAAGGGGTGGCTCAGCTCTATCATCTGCTGCTGTATCCTTCTTGGCTGCAGTTTCTGAAACGTCTCCTTGGACATGGTATCATGAGTCTCAATCCCTTTGACCTTCAGCAGTTCTGTCCACCTCAGCTGTTTCCCTTCCTGTAGACTGCCCCACTCTGCTAGCCTCTTTTCTCTTTCCGCCCCCCACACCATAACGGAGATTGGATGGCCTTCCATCCTTTCTTCAGCCTCTTCTACTCTCCTCCTGCATTCAGCATCTCGGATTTCGATATGCTGTGTGGCGAGGAGAAAATGTCGAAAATGCAGTTTTCGACATTGGTGTGGCGAGGCCCTAAAGCCAACACTCTCCACACACCACACGCAACCCACACCCGTGTTGGTATTGAATTCATGGGGTGTTCAATTCGGCGGGGAGCGAAAAATAAAGACAAAAAATGAATCGGCTCTTTCGGACGTGGAGGCGCTCAGTCGGCCGCGGTCTGAGAAATCGAGCCCCCTCATCCCAGTACCAGCAGGATGCGCGGTACCGGATCTGGACTCCTTTGCGTCCAAATCCGTTCGCTTCCGCAGATCTTAGCGGGAACCGTATCTCGAATTCCATGGCGGCAACGTGGCCAGAACAACCATCACGACTCTTCGTTGTCGTGTAGTCCCTTGAGCTGAGCGGGAAGATCGGTACTGCTCAAACAAAACACACGTGTGACATTCGGCTATTCGTTCTGGTTGCGTTGACGACAACGGGCTGCGCAATT